CCTCCAATGAGCAGTCGGGCTTTATTTCCTGAAGTATGGACTGGTTGGATCTTCTCGAGGTCCAAGGCACTCTCAGAACTTTCCTCCAACACCACAGTTCAAAAGCATCTATCTTCCTTCGCTTGGCCTTCCCTAAGGTCCATATCTCACATCTGTAGGTGACTATGGGGAATACCATTGCTTTTACTATGCGCATCTTTGTTGCCAGTGTGATGTCTCTACTCTTCACTATTTTATCGAGATTGGACATTGCTCTCCTCCCAAGAAGTAAATGTCTTCTGATTTCCTGGCTGCAATCTGCATCTGCAGTAATCTTTGCACCTAGAAATACAAAGTCTATCACTGCCTTCATGTTTTCTCCCTCTATCTGCCAGTTATCAGTCAGTCTTGTTGCCATAATCTTGGTTTTTTTTAATGTTTAACTGCAACCCAGCTTTTGCGCTTTCTTCTTTCACCTTGATTAGAAGGCTCCTCAGCTCCGCCTCGCTTTCGGCCATCAAAGTGGTGTCATCTGCATATCTCAGGTTGTTAATGTTTCTTCCAGCAGTTTTCACCCCAGCCTTGCATTCATCAAGCCCCGCACATCGGCAATGTTACATAGGAGGAAATTTTTGAGGGGCTTATTGGATTCTTAAAACACAGTCAGCACCTTGAATTGAAATAAATTGAACATCAATGAAGCTGGCACAAAATAAACCCGGTGTGGTCCACATTTCAAGCCATACTGAAACAATCGTCATACTGCAAGCCAGTGGTATCAATGGACTGTGTTCCAGGTCTGCTCCACATTGACTGCATTATAGCATTCCATCACTCAAGGGACTAACAGGGCAAGCCTTAATTCTACACTGACAAGGTCTGTTTCAATACAGTGGAATGTACTCTCAAGTAACCGCGCATAAGATTGCAGCTAAGGAATGAACATCTGAGGCTAGGTTTTGACAGTAGTTGTGGGGAAGCTTTGTCAGCTTATGTTAACTGTGGGTTTGAATAATCAACAGAATGTATGTGGTAAGATTTTCTGTGACCAACAGCGGGGGGAAACCATTATTTCTAGGCATGCGGTATAACAGACAGAAAGGAAAGGAAAGGAGAAGTGACATTTTAGGGAAGTTGCATGGCAGCGACTTTGCATTCCGCGCACACCCTCCCACATACACAACTCCCTTGAAAAATGCATAATTTGTGCAGCAAGAACATTCAGATGAGGTCTGGCATCTTGGCTTTGCTTTTTTCTTGAATTAAAGACTTTGCTTCAGCCTCAAGTAGGATCTACTCAGTTCCAACTATAGTGAAAATTTACAGAGCTGGATTGTTGTAGGTTTTTCCGGGCTATATGGCCATGTTCTAGAGGCATTTTCTCCTGACGTTTCGCCTGCATCTATGGCAAGCATCTGGTCTGTTGGAACTAGGAAAAAGGGTTTATATATCTGTGGAATGACCAGGGTGGTGCAAAGGACTCTTGTCTTCTGGAGCTAGGTGTGAATGTTTCAACTGACCACTCTGATTAGCATTTGATTTCCTGGCAGTGCCTGGAGCAATCTTTTGTTGAGAGGTGATTAGATGTCCTTGTTTGTTTCCTCTCTGTTGTTGTGCTGTTCTAATTTTAGAGTTTTTTTTATACTGGTAGCCAGATTTTGTTCATTTTCATGGTTTCCTCCTTTTCTGTTGAAATTGTCCACATGCTTGGGATTTCATGGCTTCTCTGTGTAGTCTGACATGGGTTGTTGGAGTGGTCCAGCATTTCTGTGTTCTCAAATAAAATGCTGTGTCCAGGTTGGTTCAATAGGTGCTCTGCTATGGCTGACTTCTCTGGTTGAAGTAGTCTGCAGTGCCTTTCATGTTCCTTGATTCGTGTTTGGGCAGCGCTGCGTTTGGTGGTCCCTATGTAGACTTGTCTGCAGCTGCATGGTACACGGTAGACTCCTGCAGAGGTGAGAGGATCCCTCTTGTCCTTTGCTGAATGAAGCATATGTTGGATTTTCTTGGTGGGTCTGTAGATAGTTTGTATGTTGTGTTTCCTCATCAGCTTCCCTATGCGGTCAGTGGTTCCCTTGATGTATGGCAAGAACACTTTTCCTCTGGGTGGATCTTCATCTTGACTCTCGTGGCTTGGTTCTTGGTCTTGCAGCTCTTCTGATGTCTGAGGTGGAGTCTCCATTGGCCTGGAGAGCCCAGTTGAGGTGGTTCAGTTCATCTTGGGGTTCGCAGATTCTTTTTGCACGGTATTACTGTACCATCAAAATTTGCTGATTTATGGAGACTTCAAAAGCTTCTACACCAGTGGTTCTCAACCTGTGAGTCCCCAGATGTTTTGACTTTCAACTCCCAGAAATCCTAACAGCTGGTAAACTGGCTGGGATTTATGGGAGTTGTTGGCCAAAACACTTGGGGACCCACAGGTTGAGAACCATTGTTCTACAATGTATTGTCGAAGGTTTTCATGGCTGGAATCACTGGGTTTTTGTAGGTTTTTTCGGGCTATATAGCCATGTTCTAGAGGCATCTAGAGGAATGCCTCTAGAATATGGCCATATAGCCTGAAAAAACCTACAACAACCCACTGTTCTACACTTTTGTAGCATTTTAGTTGCCCCTAAGAACAATATAGGCCAATTGCAGGTTGTAAAAATTTCCATTTGAGCAAAGAGGGGCACGGTTGCACATTTGATTGATTACATAACATAGTTTTATAATTTTGGGGGTGTATTTAAGATTTTAAGGAACATTTCATTTCAGAAATTATTTAAAGTCTATCTAGCCTTTGTCTTTTGATTTCCTATGAGGTATGAGCTGCTGGGCCACAGGGAGCTTGATGATAGTAGGTATACAGGGCAACCTTATTTTGATCATTTTGAGCATTCAGATCACCAGCCATTATTATTGGAGCTTCAGGGAATCTATTTGACAAGCTGATTATGTATTATCCAGCTTGGTCCAGTCTCTTCATACCAGCTCTTTTTTCCATTGTGGTGGAATATATGCATCTATATAAATAAAAATGTTAGTTTGTGGGATAACTAAAAAAACCGACTGGGAACTAATTGCCGCCAAATTTGGCCACAAGACACCTACTAACCCAAGGAGTGATCATCACTAAAAAAAATTTGATTTTGTCATCTGATAGTTGTAGTTGCTGGGATTTATAGTTTACTTACAATCAAAGAGCATCCTGAACTCCACCAGTGAGGGAAATGAACCAAACGTGGCACACAGGACTCCTGTGACCAACAGAAAACACTAGAAGGGTTTGGTGGGCATTGACCTTGAGTTTTGGAGATGTAGTTCACCTACATCCAGAGAACACTGTAGACTCAAACAATGATGGATCTGGACCAAACTTGACACGAATATTCCAAGGTATATTTTCCCCAAACAGATTGAGTTTGGGGAAAATAGACCTTGACATTTGGGAGTTGTAGCTACTGAGATTTATAGTTCACTTACAGTCAAAGAGTATGCTGAACCCCACCAACGACAGAATTGGGGCAAACTTCTCACACAAAACCCCCATGACCAACAGAAAATACTGAAGGCCATCCAGTCCAACTCCCTTCCCCAGGGCAAGAAAACGTAATCAAAGCCCTCCTGACAAAGGGCCATCCAGCCATAGATAGATATATATGATTCACACACACACAGTATCATAGATTTGAAAGGGACCCCTAAAGAAGGACAATTTTGCATGTTCCAGAGTAGGCAAACCAGACAATCTCCACATCAACATATATTAGAAACCAACACTTTCTAATTACTTTATTTTCCAGATCACCAGACTGGGCCACAGCAACACATGGCAGGGGACCGCTAGTTAATTAATAAAAGGGTATAGAGAGCTGTAGCCAGGTAATCCTGTAGTTCCAGTTTAACCAATGATTCCCACAATCTTGCTGCCACTAGCATACATAGCCCTTTTTTTGGGGTCGCTCTCCCTTATTACTAGGGGCCTCTGCTAAGGAATGAGAAAAATAATCATTAACATATCCATTATAGCCCAAGTCTCTTGGAGAAATATAATCTCATATTTTTCAATGAATCCTCTAAAAGGAAGGGTCTAATGCCTTCCTTGACCACCCTGCAATATTCCAGGATAGAAGTGACAGCTGGGGTCTCTTTTGGTGGTACGCGCTTTTCAGGGTGCTATTATAGCATTGCTTGATCAAAAGGGTTTTGTCTTTGTTTGAGTGGGGATGTTCCTTTGTGATTACTTTTCCTGGCATCTGGCATCCAGCATCTTGCTTCTTGCTTATGTGAATCTGGTTTTTGCCCAATATCATATTTTACAAGCCTATTTGTTTTTAGCCTATTTAGAAGTCCTTTGGGAGTGAAAGGTAGAGCCTGATATGTTATATATAAATATATTTTGTTGAGATTAACTTCACAATTCAGCAGCAGATCAGTTGCACAACTTCAGCGCTTTCCAGTAGCTTCTTCCTGCACAGTATTTTCAGTCAACTGCTCCCACAGCCTGCAGTCACTCTGGAACCTTTTACAGACACTTGAGCACATGCCCGGCCATTGTCAGTTTTACCATTGTCTTTCCCCCAGTCTAGATGATATTACAAACTTACCACAGCATACAGTTATATCTTGTCTTAGCAGACAGGTTCTTTTAATTAATTATATATAGCCTTCGACAAACAACAGCACAGCACAAGGAGAGAGAATACACTGTACATGACTTCCTTATATACAATTCTTTTACACATAGCAATCTCTGATTGGTTCCCAACTCACTGACTTAACTCAGACCCAGGATTGCATCATTCACAATCACCTGGACTAGGCCAGAACACATTCCCCAAATGAAGTTCTATATACAGTTAATGCATGACTCAGCATTTCCAATAGAAGCCCATTAGCAGTGCATGACTCAGCTATATTACATTACAATACATTGTAAAACCTGGCATATTTTTATTCAGACACAATTTTGTTAAAGATGATTCTTTTTAGGCTGTCACAGAATGTGCATGTTGATATTGCCACAACTGTTTTGAATGCAGGGTAGCATGTTTAACACCTGGAAACCGATGTGGGTTGTGCTGTCTGAAGATGCCATTGAATTCTTTAAGAAGAAGACTGACACCAACCCTAAAGGAATGATTCCTCTAAAAGGGAGCACCCTAACAAGTCCCTGCCAGGATTTTGGTAAAAGGATGGTAAGTCTGTATGTCTTCTAAAGAACACTGAATAAAGGGTGTGGCATTTGGTAGACATTTTCACCAGAGTTATGGTTCTACCAGATCTTCTTGTTGGCTAACTAAGCCATGAAGAAAAAGTCAGCCTAGAAAACAACGCTTCTCATTATGTTTTTTTTTCTATCTCCCTACGGGTGGGTTCACCTGTTCCTTCTTTAAGGGATCACCTTATATGGAAATCTATGAAGTTCAGCTTTGTTGAAAAGATCTATTTTGTACCCTAGGACCTCATCCCACATATTATAGGCTCAATTTCGGGGACTCAATGAGTTTTTTTAATCATCTTTATTATGCAGATTTTCAGTAATTATGACATACAGTACGAAGGGAGGGATAAAGGGAAGTACAATTGGGGGAATAGGGGGTAGGGGTAGGGGGATGGGAGGTAAGGGAGGTAAGGGAGGGAAATAAGGGAGGGGAGTGAGGTGAGATGACATGTTAAACATATGATTGACTTCCAGTAGAGTCCACAGGGTAATAAAAAAAAAGAAAACAAAATACCTGCTTTCTAGTTTCTTCATAACAATTTTTTTATATGTTTATAAAACACCTTCACTGTTCTTATATCTGGACACCGCTGTGAGTCGCCCTCGGGCTGAGAACAGCGGTATATAAGCAAAGTAAATAAATAAATAAATAAATAAATAAATGTTTTTCCTTTCCTCTAAATATTTCTTCAGTGGTTGCCAGTTGATTCTTCTCTTCTTACTTTTTTCATAAACCATATTCGCCAAGTCGTTCATTTCCATATATTCCCTAATTTTCAGAATCCAAGATTCGAATGTAGGGAGTTCTTTAGATTTCCATTTTCTAGCTAGAACATTCCTTGCTGCGGCTGACAAGTAATACAGTAATACAGTAACTTATCATGATTTAGTCCTGGATCAAAATCTATTAGATGCAGTAGGTAATACTCCGGTTTCAACTCAAATTTTGTCTGCAAGATTCTTTGTGGATGTGAATGTATCTCTTTCCAAAACCTTTTTACTTTTTTGCATTGCCACCATATGTGGTAATAGGTGCCTAATTGGGAGGGGGGGCTCAATTTCAATGCGTTTGGAAAATGGAGTCCCTCGGAGGCCATCATGTGATGTAAGGGCCCTTCTGGTGGGACTTAATGGGACTCGATTTCCGCAGTGCATGGAAACATAGCCCAGAATACGTTTTGAGGAGTTAGTTGCTACCTAACTCCAACTGACAGTGAAATATGGGGGAAAGACGAGGAAAGGACATCCCAGAAGAAGGACCTCAATAGTACTGAATGAAGTAAGATGGTTCCCTGTACTTTTCACCACTTCCCTCCCTCTCCCGTTCATGGGATGAAGTCCCTAGATGTCTTTGGAGAACCCAGATCTTTGCGGATCTCTAGAGCAAGCAGGAAAACCAAGAACTGGAAACTGCCTATATCAAAATCCTTAATGTGTTGCTTTCCAACACTGTTAGACTCCAAATCCCATCACCCCATGACCACTTTATTGTAGTCCAGATAAAAGACATCAGGTCAAGAAAAGCTGGTTTATCCAGTGGTACCATGTAATTCCTCAGCTCAGAAGGGTCTGGTGGAGACACACATCTCGAAACTACAAAATTTCCCACTGCAAAACTGAACAATTACAAAGATTCTTTAAGGTTGGCAATTACAGAGACGTATAGTAAGGTGTTGCTACAAGGTGTTATTTTTCATGTGCCCTTGTTACATGATGTAACAAGGGCACACTTCAATTTCTTTTCTAAAATCAGAGCATAGAGATGTTAATCTTTTGACGGCAGCACCCAGAATCCCTTGTTTGATTGTTGTCACAGCTTATAAACATAAATTATACCCATACTCATGGGGAAAATAAATGCTGACCATTACAAAATCCATTTCTATTCCAGTTTGTCTTTAAACTCACAACTACCAAACAGCAAGATCACTTCTTCCAAGCCTCTCACCTTGAGGAGAGAGATGCGTGGGTGAAAGACATTAAGAAAGCCATAAAGTGCATTTTGGGAGGCCAAAGATTTTCCAGAAAATCAACCAGGAAGTCTGTCAAGCTTCCAACAACAATCAATCTAAGGTTTGTGAAAAGTTAACTTGAGTTCATTCCCTGGAATAGAGAGTTGAACTGTCATAAGTGAACAAGAGAGGAGTGACATCCTTCATTTATGGCCGTGGTTCCCAACCTGTGGATCCCCAGATGTTTTGGCCTTCAACTCCCAGAAATCCTAACAGCTGGTAAACTGGCTAGGATTTCTGGGAGTTGTAGGCCAAAACACCTGGGGACCCACAGGTTGAGAACCACTGACTTAGGGGTTAGTCACACCCCATCCAAGCTTCTGATGCTGTTTTTGTGGTTGCTTTGAATGAAGAGGAGCAGCCCCAGGAGATGGAGATTAAATGTGAAATAGTGGTGTTCCAGAGTGGTGTTAATTTGTCGTAGACCTCTCTCCTCCAAATCACGTCCAAGCTGCTTTTTCTCCTATGCAGAGTGTTTCTCTGTGTATATGTTCAAAATGAATAGTGAAACTGTAAATAAAAATGTGTAAACTGCTGTGGGGCATCCACATGACACACCACTTGATTTGTTGTGCTTCCACCCTTAATTCAACTCAAGGGGAGACATGATTTATTCCAAAGCTTCCACAAAGCTCCATAGCAATCTCAGAGCTTTGAACGTGTGAGATCCAGCCTAATCCATTCTCCACAAGTCCAACAGACCCACCATTGTGTCATGAATGACTTTTCAATAACTTTGAAGCATGGGTTCTTTTTATTGCAATTTCCAGTGTGAGAGGATATATCAGATTACAGAAAAACATTTAGACAAAGAATGACATTGGACATACAGACATACAGATTCTATGCAACTACATTGGATTTACAATTACATTGGTTAACAAACAAAGAAAGGGAAATTACATTTTCACTCAACATTCATACACATGTACACACATTCATCCACATGCATCCAAATATTACCATATCCTTTTCTCCCTCCTTGGAGAAGCACCTGATTTCCTGCAGCCTGCCAACATATAGTTCCATAACTTCCATAATGCCAAGAACCAGATCTCTGTTTTCCATACAACAGAACCTGACTCCCAGCACAAAATCTAAGACTCCAAAAGCACACTTCTTCCTCTTCCCTTGAGAAAGAAGCCCCAAAGTGACAAGACTGCTCCCGTGCAGATCTGCCACTCTCCGAATACACCATCTCTCTCCTTCCCATGGAGAAGAGCATGGCGGGTGAACCAGACTCCTCAGGTCGGTCACAATTTGAGCATTATTACACTGAGTCTTTTATAGGAATATTCTGTTGATGTAGTCCCAAAGTTGTAAATTAATGATAGACATCTTCCATCCTGGCTCCATCTCAGTTTCCTGGCCAGATGTTGATCTTCTTGATTGGTGTTGATCTTATGTTGACTTCCTTTTTAACATAAGGAAGGTTGCAAACATTCCCGTTCTTATCAGAGATTACTTTTCAGATCTCATTAGCAGGTTTTATCCACATTCCAGCAAGCAGGTAGTTAGTAATTGCAGACCTTAATATTATACTGGTGTTTCCAAAATTATTAACTCCATTCATACATCCACCTTCCATTCTTCCATTCATTCCCACACATCATATTAAATTCATATTTGTCAAATCTGCACATTGAATTTCTTGTGACATTTGGCTACATGGAGCTCTCAGTAGAGGCTTGCTGTGGGTGTCACTTCTAGTAACACCCTCCCCAAAGACATCAGACAAGCCCCTACGTTGGCAGTCTTTAGGAAGTGTTTGAAGACCTGGCTGTTCCGATGTGCCTTTCCAGAATAGGAACTCCAGCAATATGTCCCAGAAGCACTTTATCAGAGTTTTAAGATGGTCTGCACATTGCACTTACCCTGAAATCCTACATCCACCTGTCACACCCAGCACTTTTTAATCTGTACCCATTACATTCGGCCCGGCCCTAGTTTTATTGTGTTATGGTGTATTGTTTTTATTGTTTACTGCTATTGTTTTAATGTTTGATTTGCTTTAAGTTATGTGTTTTGTTATGCTGTTGTTTTATTGAGGCCTTGGCCTGTGTAAGCCGCATCGAGTCCTTCGGGAGATGCTAGCGGGGTACAAATAAAGTTAATAATAATAATAATAATAATAATAATAATAATCAGGAATCAAATAAGATAATATTTTTGGAATCTGTGGCCATAGGTCAGTTTCAAAAGTTGTTAGGAAAGAGGTCCAAGAAGATTTATGATTAATTCCTAACTCAACATTCTTTCCTAACTATTAATCATTTCTACCTCCTAACAGTAACTTGTATGTTTCAATGAAAGACCCTGACAAAGGGATAAAAGAAATGAAACTGGAAAAAGACAAGAAAATATTCAATCACTGCTTTACAGGTAAAGAACTTTTACCAGCATTTTTTAGAGAACATACTGCCTTTCTCACCCCTAAGGGGACACTATAAAATAGAGTCATAGTGTGATTGATTATCTGTCAGGGATCCAGATCAGAGATCAGATTCTGTGAAATAAGGCAGTGTAGGACATAAACCAGACCTTTACTGGGCTTAGGGATGCAGGATACCTGCAAAAATGGAAAAACTGCAAATTACAAAAAGTCAAATTAAAAATGGAGGTCTACAAATGCGTAGAGAAGTGTGCTCTCTAGGAATGTCTATGTCCTACAGTGCAACTCTATGGCTAGTGTTGATAAAGAGTTATGCTGGAGGATCTAGAGATTCTTATTGAGAATGCATTAATTAAATCTGCAACTAATCGGATCTCCAAAATTAAACCTGCAAATGTGGAAGTCCTACTTTAAAGACTATGAGGATGACAGCCCTTTCCCTTTGTTTAATTAGTGCTATCCGATTAAGCCTGAGCTATCTATTGCATGTCTACTAACACTCCATGGTTTGTTCCTTTGCTACCAGGCAGTTGTGTCATTGACTGGCTTCTATCCAATAATGCCATCCAAAATCGCCAAGGGGGTCTAATGGTGGCATCAGCCCTGTTGAATGAAGGTTATTTTCAGGCTGCTGGGGAGCTATCCAAAACTGCAGCTGAAGGCCTGTCGGAAACGCCCTTCCTTGACAATGAGGACGCCTATTATTACTTTGTAAGTTTGAAAGCATGAGATATCTCTGCAGCCACTGTGGGACCAGGAATGCATTTCTTCCACGCCGCCGACTCCCATAGTTTGGCACTTCCAGCTGCCATTTTCTCTATCTTCATAGTTGAGGGATTGACACGTGGAGACTAAACCGCCATGTTTATGACCCAATTTAAGTGATTTCCCCTCTTGTTATAGGAAAAATGAACTACCCAAAATCAGCACATGTAAATGGGGCAGCGTATCTGAGAGCTTCAGGGAGGCATCCGGGCAAAATGCATCCAGGAGTCTGGGTTTTGCCCACGCTGCTTTACAAATTATCTGTCTATGTAACTATCATCTATCTATCTATCTATCTATCTATCTATCTCTATCTATCTATCTATCTAGAAATTAATGTTTTGTGACAGGGTGTAGGGGTAGGGACTGATTGAATGTATTGTTATGCAGGTTTCTTCTTTTTCTGTAGAACATTGGACATATATATCTATGTCTGGATCTACACTGGCATATAATCCAGTTCAAAACGGATAATCTAGATCAGAAACTGGATTATATGCCCATATAGATAGGCCTATGTATCTTTCCAGGTACTACACATATATAGGTTGGAGGGCTGACTTTAATCCTATTTATTTGCCATACAGGCACACATGCCTTTGATTATAAAACATCATAGAGCTTCTCCTGGCAAGCCAGTGTCTTGGAAACCTTAGAGGCCATGAATCACTGCAGTCGAGGGAGAGTTTGTCCCAATTACCTGACATTTGATAGGATGGATGCTTTGTGTCGATCTGTAAATGCCTTCTGCAAATTCTGTTTTAGCTCCAAACATTTAACCACAAATTAGTCCATGCCCTTGAACACAATTTTCAGAAATGAGGTCAGTAAAACCAACTCTCAAATTTGGGTGCATTGGTTTGAAGAGCATGCTTACTAGCTGTAATAACCACACATTTCCTGGTTTAGCTATAAGTGGACTGTGGGAGTAGTTCTGTCACCAAAGGGAGCAGTCTTCTCACCTCTTTGGCTTTCAGAGTTGTGCGGGGAGAGTTAAACTCCAGAATTTGAAGAAGGCAAGCAAGTTGATTTTACTCACATCTCCTGCTACTCCTCTCTGCTATCAAATCACCAAATACATATTTGCAACTAGCTGTCCCCTGCCACATGTTGCTGTGGCCCAGTCTGTGTATATGCGTTTTGTGTGTCTATATGTGTGTCTATATATTTGTGTATATATGTGTGTTTGCATTTTTTTTGTCGTGTCAGGAGCGACTTGAGAAACTGCAAGTCGCTTCTGGTGTGAGAGAATTGGCCGTCTGCAAGGACGTTGCCCAGGGGACGCCCGGATGATTTGATGTTTTTTATCATCCTTGTGGGAGGCTTCTCTCATGTCCCCGCATGAGGAACTGGAGTTGATAGAGGGAGCTCATCCGCCTCTCCCCGGATTCGAACCTGCAACCTGTCGGTCTTCAGTCCTGCCGGCACAGGGGTTTAACCCACTGCGCCACCGGGGGCTCCGTGTGTTTGCATATATGTGTGTGGTTTTGCACATACGTTGTTCAATCCCCATGAGCTCCTCCCCATAAATGTACCTTTTTCATTTCTATCTCATCCAGAGTTTTACCATTTTATGTTGTGCATTTGGCCCACCCACCGTATTTGATTTTCCATTATGTTATTTTGTACTGTTTATTTACTTGATTGGTTTATTTATTTTAATGGTAATGTTATTTTGTTGTTTATATTTAATGTTGCTATAATGTATCATTGGGCTTGGCGAGTCCCCTTTGAGGGAGATGGTGGTGGGGTATAAATAAAGATTATTATTATTATTATTATTAATGTAATTTTTGTTTTTTGTCTTTTTAAGTCCTTTCCACTGTGTTTTTCAATGTTTTTATGAGTGATCGTCACTCATTGGCATGATAGTTGTCTTGTGTCCAAATTTGGTGTCAATTCATCCAGTGGTTTTTGAGTTACTGTATATACTCGAGTATAAGCCTAGTTTTTCAGACCTTTTTTGGGCTGAAAATGTCCCTCTCAGCTTATACTCGAGTCAAGGTTATTTATTATTTTACTCTGTTATAAATACGTAATAGAAGTATTATTATTATTATATTTATTATTTTATTTTATCATTGTTATTATTACATTTATTATTTTACTCTATTAATTATTGTTATTATTACATTTATTATTTTACTCTATTTTTATTGGAAGGGTACACAAGCACATTTACATTGAAGACGGTCAGAACGGTTTAATCAGAGTTGAGCAGTCTTACAGTTTAATGTAAATATTCAAAAACATTTACCCTCCTGATGCCTCAATTAATGTAATTTTATTGGTATCTATTTTATTTTGAAGTTTACCAGTATCTGTTGCATTTCCCACCCTTGGCTTATACTCAAGTCAATCTGTTTTCCCAGTTTTTTGTGGTAAAATTAAGTGCCTCGGCTTATATTCGGGTCGGCTTATACTCGAGTATATACGGGATGTTAATCCCACAAACGAACATTACATTTTTATTTATATAGATACATGTACACAATTGATTTGCTCCTAAAACTGAATTTCATATTGCTCTGTATGCCTTAGCTAGACTAGGTCTTCTTAGGCTGCTTCGGCACTGCCATATAATCCAGTTCAAAGCAGATAATCAGGATTTTATATGACAGTGTAGAAGGGCTTAAACTTGCCCACTCAGAACTTCTTTTGCCCCATTTTTAAAAACCTAACCCCTATGTAAAACAGGTATAAAAATAAAACATATACTGATAACATACCAGTATTTGTAAGACTTAATAACCAGGCTGTTTCCGTGTATTGTCGAAGGCTTTCATGGCCGGAATCACTGGGTTGTTGTAGGTTTTTTCGGGCTATATGGCCATGTTCTAGAGGCATTCTCTCCTGACGTTTCTCCTGCATCTATGGCAAGCATCCTCAGAGGTAGTGAGGTCACTACCTCTGAGGATGCTTGCCATAGATGCAGGTGAAAAGTCAGGAGAGAATGCCTCTAGAACATGGCCGTATAGCCCGAAAAAACCTACAACAACCCAGGCTGATTCCTTTTTGCGAAGCACAGTTGAAGCCTTTTCTGGAGAGTTCACTGTAAATACTGCACAACAGAGTCATATAAATGCCTAAAAACACCACTAGGTGACATTCAGAAAATTGTTCGGGTTCAATGGGGACCCACAATTTAAAAAACAGTGAGCTAGATGCTAATATTATGTAAGAAAATATTAGTGGGATAGTAACTAGGAATATCTACCTTAGGACTACTCAATCCTCCCAAATATATATATCAGCCACATTTTGTAATCTGATTTTGCCCTCTGCTTCAATATCCACAGGCTGAAAATATATTTCATTATTTCCCCTCCTCTATAAGCAGCAGGTTTTTTTTTGTTGTTGTGTCAGGAGCGACTTGAGAAACTGCAAGTTGCTTCTGGTGTGAGAGAATTGGCCGTCTGCAAGGATGTTGCCCATGGGATGCCCAGACGTTTTGATGTTTTATCATCCTTGTGGGAGGTTTCTCTCATGTCCCTGCATGAGGAGCTGGAGCTGATAGAGGGAGCTCATCCGCACTCTCCCCGGATTCGAACCTGCAACCTGTCGGTCTTCAGTCCTGCCGGAACAGGGGTTTAACCCACTGTGCCACCGGGGGCTCCAATTATAAGCAGCAGTGACCCTGACTTCGTTGGTATCTACCCTTCCTCATACTATGTCTTCTCAGCTACTCCTTCCCATTTCCTCTGAGGTTGGAATGTGTGGCAAATGGGAGCAACATGGCTAAATAAATGTTCCTTAAAAAAGAAAATAAAAGAAAAAAGCCTGAATAGTTTAGACAGAAAAGGAACAAGTTAATAATCACGTTGAAGTTTTTTAAAAAGAAAAAAAATACTTAGCACAATGTCTTTGAACAGGCAGACAGTGGATTCTTCTGCGAAGGAAATTCCAGTGACGATGATGGGGTTTTCAAGGAAGAGTTCAGAGGTGTGGTGATCAAACAGGGATGTCTACTGAAACAGGTCAGTATCTATAAATCCTTGTTGTTGAGATGGCACAGAAAGAAAATCCATCTCGTGCAAATATAGAAATCTGTCAAAAGTCATTCCGGAAGAGCTATGCCAAACTTTCCTTTGACTTTGTCAACTGGGTTCTCGGTGTGTGGTAGGGATGAAGTCTTCATGAACCATATTTTGAATGCAAGAAAGAATAATTTGTACCATTTGTCAACTTGTGGTGAGATAGTTGTTGAAACCAATGAAGTTTTGAAAGACTCTTTACAGTTCAAGATGAGGGTGAGGTGGAGAAATAATATCTTTATGTGTGCAAAATACTTTTTGTACAGATATCAACAAAAACCCATGTATTTTTCATGCAGAATAAGTCCCAAACTACCATGTTTCTTACCTAAGACTCTCCTCTTGAGCATTTCCCTTCACTCAAGAAACCATTTTGAAATATTCTTTTCATCTGTAGCATCATGCATTGTATTGCTGGGTGGCAATTTGCTGCTAATAAATGGGTACAGCAAATAAATAATTCCCATTAATTCAGAACAAACTCAGGGTGCTTCCAGGCAGGCCCTAAATTCATGCCTAAATGAGTTTTGAAAAGTGGGTTTAAATAACCTGCTTTGGCACAGATTCCACTCCCATTCTGCCCCCAAAATCCAGACTTTCCTGGGGAGGTGGGGGTGACTACATTGTAAATACACAAATGTCCTGTTGCTATAAACTTCAGCAAAAGTATCAGTTCAATTAATCATGAGAATACTCAATTAATTGGTATAGTACACATGCATAGGGAACAAATGCGATGGGACTATTTACAGTTGTGTGACAGACATAATACAGGAGCCCCCGGTGGCGCAGTGGGTTAAAGTGCTGAGCTGCTGAGCTTGTTGACCAAAAGGTCGCAGGTTCGATTCCGGGGAGCGGCGTGAGCTTCCGCTGTCAGCCCTAGCTTCTGCCAAACTAGCAGTTCGAAAACATGCAAATGTGAGTAGATCAATAGGTACCGCTCCAGCGGGAAGGTAACGGCGCTCCATGCAGTCATGCCGGCCACATGACCTTGGAGGTGTCTACGACACTGCCGGCTCCTCGGCTTAGAAATGGAGATGAGCACCACACCCCAGAGTCAGACACGACTGGACTTGTCAGGAGACAACCTTTACCTTTAACAGACATAATATTCATGTTTTCTAGTTAGTTGTATCTATAAAATAGGGATGGCATGCAGCCACCCTGAAGCCCCCCAAATGTACCTCTAAAAATAAAATAAATCTTATCTGGCTGCCATTACTTTCCTCCTCACACAAGGACATGGGGGGGGGGATCCCCCCCCCCAAATCTCCTGCTATGTCATTTCCTCATGTCAGGAAGGTGTGAGAAGAAACATAATGGTGGCCAGGTAAGTTTTTTTTAGGGGTACATTTGGGGGAGAGGCAGGTGCCTTCTTGGTTTTTCTGGCTCCTGGAGCCCAAAAAACTGAGATGGCTGTGTGGATTGGGCCTAGGAATTGTATGATGCGGTCCCCAGGTCCAATATGCACAGGGTCCATACCTATTAAGACCCGAATCTTACCATAAGATCTTAATCTTACCAGATTAATTAATTAGGAACAAACCAGGGAAACTCTGGCTTGTTCCAAATTAATTCTGTTTTACTGTAGGTATCGTTTGGATGCCTCCAGTAAAACCAAGACCCTATACGGCTCCGGTCCAGCATACCTGTCCGAATGTATCTCCTTCTACGTCCCAGCTTAAGATCCTCTGGGGAGGCCCTGCTCTCGGCCCCACCTTTGTCTCAAACACGTTTGGCAGGGACGAAGGACAGGGCCTTCTCGGTGGTAGCCCCCCTGCCTGTGGAATACGCTTCCCGGGGAAATTAGATCATCATCACCCCTCCTCACCTTCAGAAAGAAAGTAAAATCGTGTTTGTGGGACCAGACCTTCGGGCAATCAGGTTAAAGGACAATGGATAATATTTAACTATGGATTAGAAGTGGATTTGGATAAGTGAAGCGGAGTAATCATTAGTATATGGCTAGATAAATAGCCACCAGACTGGCAATAGCTAAATGGATCGTAAGTATACTGTTTAATTTTTATTTTAATATTCATGGTTTTAATTGTTATTTTTGCTATTTGTATTTTATGAAGCGGCATTGAATTGTTGCCAATTGTAAGCCGCCCTGAGTCCCCCTAGGGGTGAGAAGGGTGGGGTAAAAAAAATGTTCGAAAAAAAAAAAGGTCTCAGTTTTTGACCATGTTTGGATGGGCTCCCACTGAGTTCTTGGCTACTATGCGTGCAAAACGCAGGATAGTTATGTACTAACCATGTAATGGAGCCCCCGGTGGCGCAGTGGGTTAAAGCACTGAGCTGCTGAGCTTGTTGATCGAAAGGTCGCAGGTTCGATTCCGGGGAGCGGCGTGAGCTTCCGCTGTCAGCCCTAGCTCCTGCCAACCTAGCAGTTCGAAAACATGCAAATGTGAGTAGATCAATAGGTACCACTCCGGCGGGAAGGTAACGGCGCTCCATGCAGTCATGCCGGCCACATGACCTTGGAGGTGTCTACGGACAACGCTGGTTCTTCGGCTTAGAAATGGAGATGAGCACCACACCCCAGAGTCAGACATGACTGGACTTAATGTCAGGGGACTACCTTTACCTTTACCTTAACCACGTAATATAATTCAAAATTAATTGAACTGCATTATGGAACCATATATTGCCGTTCAAACTACATGATTATACACTGTCCATATAATGCAGTTCAATCTGCATTATATGATCAGTGCCGAACCAGCCATTCTCAGCACAAAAGAAAGTACTACGCCAGACTAAAATACTTTCAGGCTGTCCGGGTAGCAGATAGCATTCAAATCTGTCATTACGAGAAGCATGAATGGCTAGTGTGGACAATCCTCAATGGGACCTCAGAGAACAGCTTTCTGGCTGCATCTCCACTCATGTTTAAATTCTCTTTTTGACTTTGGGGAAGGAAGCTAACTTCCTGATTTTAAAAAGGCCTTTCTTGGGCCCAGCCCAATCAAACATGCCAAGATTGCCCCATGCTCTTTCATCATTTTCATGTCTTGTAACCTTCACTGAAGACAGTTTTGGAGAAGGTTAAATAGGACAGAAAGACTAGAAGGTAATATGTCTCTATGTAAAAGATCCTGTTATGTATGTATACAATATGGCATTCTCCTTCTGTTGATCTATTGAAAGCTTTGCACAGTTCTAGCAGAATAGCCACACTGGCATCACGTACGGAGTGTATGGAGTGTTTTACAACTCCTTGGGATTGCAACATGACTCATGCTAGAGTTGTATGTAACTGAGAAGTGTTAACATTCGCTGGAAATGTGACACACTGAACCCACTGCAAATTTTTGCGCATTAACTCTGAGGCACCAATCGTGAGAAAGTGAAGCACTGCTTGCTTCTTACACATCAGTCTGATTAAAGAAAAAATATTGTGCATAATTTAGGGACTGCCTGTATTCAATTTTTTAAAAAATAAATCTAGGATACAGGAGGGGTTTTCTTTGGAAGATTTTGTTTCTGTCTTATAATTTCCTAAAAAATATTATTTGCAAATGCACTCTCTAAACTTTGTCATACGCTGGTTGAACATATGATGTTCACTTGCAGACTTCTCATATCCAAATCATAATGTCATGAAGAACTAGGTATAATCATGTACAGTCATTTTTGTGCCATAGCAACAAAATTGCTCTATGAATATAGTTTGAGTTCAGTGAAATATTATTTATTATTTTATTATTTTATTTACAGTATTTATATTCTGCCCTTCTCACCCCACAGGGGACTCAAGGCAGATTACAATGTACATATACATGGCAAACATTCAATGCCATAGACACACAACATATATAGGCAGACGCACAGAGGCTATTTAACATTCCAGATTTTTCATGAGGGTATGCTGGCCACCAGGGGAGCTGTTGCTTCACCGTCTATTTATGACACTGATGAAGTACTTCCTCATTCTTTGCATGCTTGCTGGAGATTTTTATGGTGTCATAAATCAGACTCCCCACATAAATGGTACCTAAATTCCCTATTTGACAGATGCAACTGTCTTTTGGGCTGCAAAGGTCAACAGCAAGCTACACAAATTGGTACATATACATGGCAAACATTCAATGCCATAGAGACACAACATATATAGACAGACACACAGAGGCTATTTAACATTCCAGCTTTTCTTGAGGGTATTCTGGCCACCAGGGGAGCTGTCGCTTCACCGACCATTTGTGACACTGATGAAGTACTTCCTCATTCTTTGCATGCTTGCTGGAGATTTTTATGGCATCATAAATCAGCCTCCCCACATAAGCGTTACCTAAATTTCCTACTTGACAAATGCAACTATCTTTTGGGCTGCAAAGGTCAACACATTGGTTGGAAGCTCGCTCCAACCCGGGCTGGCTTCGAAGTCATTACCTTTTGGTCAGTAGTGATCTTCATGCAGCTGACTCCCAGCCAGTGTGCCACAGTCCCAGTACCAGTCGTCAATAGCTCATACGAGGGAGATCCAGAAATACGAGGGAGATCCGGAAACATTATTTTTCCACATAATCATAATTCAGTTCAATACATTTTGCCATCAATGCGACGAGTTTTTTGATGCCTGTGTCATAGAAGTCTCTCTCTGCCTTCTTCAGCCAGTTTGTCATTATGATTTTCACCTCGTCGTTATCAAAAAAGTGTTTTCCACCCAGGTGTTCCTTCAATTTAGTGAACAGATTATTGTCACTGGGTGCAAAATTGGGGCTGTGAAAGAGGTGGCTTAAAACTAACACCACAATGTTTCTCATGATGAATTACAGCAACATTCATGCCCTTAGCATTTAGGTAGCGTTTTACAGTGTAAACTTCACACTTGGTGGGAAATGGAATGAGGATGCTCATCTCAAACCTTCACCACAATGGCAGTCAATGAGCTACTGACGACTGGCACTGCTTATTCACTTCCACTGGCTTCCCACTACACAGCAGTGATACCAACTACCCCTGCGAAAATTCCCCGCGAGAGCTACGTACCTTGTAACCTTACTTTCCAGATAACCCTCATAAATGTAAATGTCAGCATTTACTATGATCAGTTGGTCACGACATGTGAGTGTGGAGAAGAGCAAACCACTGATCACCTGCTGCAATGCAACCTGCTACATGCACAATGGAGGACCTTCTTGCGGCAACACCAGAGGCACTCCAAGTGGCCAGATACTGATCAAAGGACATTTAATCAACCACCAAGCTTGCAAATTCTGTGTTTTGTCTGTTTGTTTGTTTGTTTTTGTTTAAAATGTAATACAAATGTTTGGTGCTGATTACACGATAAATAAATAGTTGGTCAGCTTTAACCAACAGTGTTTACCTTTATTTCATTCATTCCTTACATTTAATTTAGGGTCACAGGAGGAAAAACTGGAAAGTACGAAAGTTTGTGCTGAGAGAAGATCCTGCCTACATACACTATTATGATCCTGCTGGGGTAAGCCTATTTCTCTATGGCTTTACTGGAGCATGTTTTTAAAAGGTTTTACAAAACGAGAAACCTCCTTTCAAAGAATGTTAACTTTATTATTGGTATGAGTTTCTTGTTATCATTTGTACCTTTACTCTTCATAAGACGCATCTGTAAGGTCCTTATCACATGGAGGTCCTTAAGCTGGGGAACAGTGGAGGCATCCATTGGGCAGTGGAGTAAATGGTTGGACAGTGCCCCACATCACACTATTGTACAAGAAACCTGTGTTTGTGGAAAATACATGCATTTTTTCTATGTATGTTTCACATAACCTTATACATATTGACCGAATGTAATTTTATACAATATTTTTAATAACTGTGCATGACAAATTTTGCACACATTGAACCGTCATACAGGGAGCACACTACCCCCCTGTTGTGTCAGCTCCGCTGGCTGCCAGTTCAGTTCCGAGCACAATTCAAGGTGCTGGTTTTGACCTACAAAACCCTGTACGGTTCCGGTCCAGGGTATCTGTCCGAACGCATCTCCCTCTATGTCCCACCCCGGAGTTTGAGATCATCTGGGGAGACCCTGCTCTCGACCCCACCGCTATCACAAGTGAGGTTGGTGGGGACGAGGAGCAGGACCTTCTCAGTGGTGGCCCCTCACCTGTGGAACTCACTCCCGGGGGAAGTTAGGGCATCAACATCCCTCCTCTCTTTCAGGAGGAAAGTAAAGACGTGGTTGTAGGACCAGACTTTTGGGCAATCTGACAACTAGATAAGGACAATCGGACGATTAGGACTGACAGGACTGACAATGTGGAAATGGAATTTGGACTATGAGATAGCGAACGCTGACCGTCAATGAGGAGTAATTGGGTTGGTTTTATTGGTTTTATTGTTGTAATGCAGGAATGTTGTTTAACTGTTAATTGATGCTAATTATTTTATTACTGTTATGTGATGCTGGCATCGAATTGTGCCTTTGTAAGCCGCCCTGAGTCCCTACCTCAGCCATCCGTGTGGATGACTGGAATATTTTCTCCATTGATTTCCTCGCAGATTTTATCAACATGCGCAACACTGAGTTGCCATCACTCTGATTTCTCTAATTCCAAATAACAACTAAAATGTACTTTTAGAAATAAGTTTTAAAGTAGGAAAATTTTTATTTGGAATTGTTTTCAGGGAGAAGAACCACTTGGAGCCATTCACCTGAGAGGTTGTGTGGTCACAGCAGTAGAAGATGCACCTGACGGTAAGCATTAAGCAAAAATAAATTCACTGTCATACTTTCAAGTCAGTGGTTTTTCTTTTGCAAATATTCATAATGCATTCAATGTCTTGAAGCAAATGATGAAAGACAAAATATTGTCTTCTGAAACATAAATATAACATAGTCTGTTATAAATCAGACCCAATCCAGCTGTCCACATTGCCCCAAAGCCCCCCCCCAAATTCGTCTGAAGTGAAACAAAGCTACTTTAACTTATAACCCATGATACTTAGCAGAAGTACTGTGATGATGATGATGATGATGATGATGATGATGATGATGATGAGAGGAGATTCCATCTGAACATGAGGAAGAACTTCCTGACTGTGAGAGCCGTTCAGCAGTGGAACTCTCTGCCCCGGAGTGTGGTGGAGGCTCCTTCTTTGGAAGCTTTTAAACAGAGGCTGGATGGCCATCTGGCAGGGGTGATTTGAATGCAATATTCCTGCTTCTTGGCAGGGGGTTGGACTGGATGGCCCATGAGGTCTCTTCCAACTCTTTGATTCTATGATTCTTGATGGATTTTATTTACGAAATCCAGCATATTATTATTATTATTATTATTATTATTATTATTATTATTAATAATACAAACTTTATTTATACCCCACCTCCATCTCCCCCAAGGGGACTCGGGCGGCTTACATAAGGTCACACCCATCAATACAGTAAACACAATAAAACACAACAGAAAATCAAAAAATAAATTACATAAAATGCAAAACCAATATCAATAAGCAACACAGCAGCATAAAATCAAACATTAAAACACAAATGATCACACTGGGCAGGGCCAAATTCAAAGATAAAATTTAAAACACTGGGAGATAGGACAATGTAAAATATCAGGGAGGGGATCCAGGGATGAGGTAGGATTTAATTGCACAAACCATAAAATAAAGTGCTTCTGAGGTCATTTTATACAGGGTTTGGTCAGGGAGTATCTTACATTCAATCATTGAAGGCACATTAGAATAACCAAGTTTTCAGGCTCCTCCTGAAGATTGCCAGCGTGGGGGTTTGTCATTTGCTGTGACATACTGTGTTTTTGTGTCAGTATGATAATAATAATGATAATAATAATAATAATAATAATAATAATTATTATTATTATTATTATTATTATTATTATTTCTTACCCACCTTTCCCTATGGCTTGAGACATTTCACAGTACAGTAGAGCAAAAGCACACAAATGCTATAAAAATTCTACAAACACACATATTAAAATGCAGTACCAAAAATATACATATCAAGCATTTCTATAAAATACATATTAATCACACAGGACATGAGTTTAAAAGTCATATTTTCAACTGACTCAATGTCATGAGGTCAATAAGAGTCAATTCACTCTTAAGTATCCTAGCTCTATGTCAATCATGGGCAAACTTTGGCCCTCCAGGTATTTTGGACTTCAACTCTTACCCATCCTAACAGCCAGTAAGATCGCTGGGGTTTCTGTGAGTTGAAGTCCAACACACCTAGAGGGCCAAAGTTTGCCTATGCTTGTTCTATGTGGAACTCCCTGATATTCCTTGGAGGTTTTCCATCCAGTGGGAAGCTGTGTGTGCAATAGAAATCATCAAAATAAATGTGATAAGATTTGGAGATTTATCACATATACATGACTATCAGCAATGATAAAGGAAATTCCTAATAGAGCAATACATTGCTGGTATCTATGAGCCTTAACACTACAAATAAGTATCATATTTCCTCAGTTTTAAGGCACACACTAATTACACTACCACCAATAGAATAAAAGCATACACACACACACACATCAATTCTAAGACATATTAGAATCAAAGAACTATGGTAATAATTGGTCAGAAAAATATTGGAGAGGGTTCAATAATGTTGGTATGTTGGAACAGAATTTCAATTTGTCTAGAAGTTTTTGACTGGACACACAAAATACTGAATTGAAATGTACACTTTCAAAGTAATTGACTCATTTCACCAACTAATGATAAGAAAATGAACATGCCTTGTGTAAAGATCTTACATCTATATGTGCCAAGAATAGATAGCAAGGAGGTGAGAGAACTTCACAAGGTTTGTCCATTAATTTGAACTCACAAATTTGTTAGAAAGAGACACAGAAATTCTACCTTGCTGGAGATGAAATAGCTGAAGATGCTCTGAGACTTAGATTTTTGTAAACCATATGGCACTTGTAAATTTGTTGACATAGTATAATTTGATATTATACTATGTCAACACTAAATAAAAATGTTTTCCAAAAAAAATACTAACCAGGTCCAAGTACTAGCCACACAACCTTCACTTTTGAAATAAGACTTGACTATATTCAGAGAAATATCATGTCATAAAATTGCAACTTATTTCATGTTTCATATTTGCTGTTAGGGAAGGAGAGTAGACTTGCCATACATCTTGATTTACTCAAGGGAAGTAGGAGCAGGCAGCTCCTACTTCAATTTCAGGAAGCCAAATATTTTGGCGAGTCCTGTCGATTATTATTCTGAATTCACAATGAAGCCAAAGCTTACCTTTGGATTTATTAAGAGGAAACGGGAAGAGTTCCCTCTTTGTATCATGTAGAAAGGGAAGGCCTTCTTATATTGTGGGGAAGACTCTGAACCAAGCATTCTTTCACTCACATTCTTTTCTTTCTCCAACAATCAGGCAAAAAAAATGAAGTTGGAGGGAATCTGTTTGAAATCATTACTGCCAACGAAGTGCACTATGTCTTGCAAGCAGCCACCTCAGCAGAACGTACTGACTGGATCAAGGCCATTCAGATGGTTGCCAGGACTGGAAAGTGAAGAACCACCAACATCAGCAAATAGAGGCAACTTGTTACGTTGCTCGTATATAGCCATATCATTTTAAAGGTTTTTTTTCTCTCTCTCTCTCTCTCTCTTTTGGTAAGAGCATGACTAAGAAGTGATGGTCAGAATGCTGCATCAAGCTACATAATATACTTAACCACACAACGTCTCCTGTCCTGTCCCTGCCCCCTTTCCCCCAACTTGTTAGAAAGTCATTCAGTTATGTTCCTGTCACTGGCAGAATAGACCAGTTGATAATAGCTGGTAAAGTAGCTGGAAGGGGGAAATTGTGACTACTGACCTCATCACATTGAGAGGGGAAAGCATAGGTGACCATCCCTTTAAGAGTAGAGAATCACCCTTCTTATATCATCAGCTGTCCCATTTGCAGTTCTCTCTCCCCATCACACTCAACATAGAAACTTAAGAGCTGGGAATACAGTCATCTTTTACATTCATCACATGGTCAGTACTACTTTTCTTAAATCAGGAGAAACAACAATATCGAAAACCAAGAGATCTGTTGTTCTTCCCAAAGCCCTTTACATTAAAGGAGACTGACACCACTTCAAAACCACTTCTTTCCATGGGATCCTATTTTTTCTGCTCCAAACCCATAGGATACAAGAGAAAATGATCCAGGTTAAAACCACTTTTCCATGACATCCTATTGTTTTGCAGCAAATGCCATAGGATACAAGAGACTGCTGATAGTTGGGCAATGAAATAGGATGGGAAACTTTGATGGTTCCCATCGCACATGTTTTTCAGTTGTAAACATGGGAGTAAAGTGTCATAAGAGGAGATTCCATCTGAACATGAGGAAGAACTTCCTGACTGTGAGATCCATTCAGCAGTGGAACTCTCTGCCCGGAGTGTGGCGAAGGTTCCTTCTTTGGAAGCTTTTAAACAGAGGCTGGATGGCCATCTGTCAGGGGTGATTTGAATGCAATATTCCTGCTTCTTGGCAGGGGGTTGGACTGGATGGCCCATGAGGTCTCTTCCAACGCTATGATTCTATGATTCTAAGAGGTAGGAGCTCTGGACACAATTGCTGGCCTGTGTTCAGAGTTTCCTCCTTTCAGGACATTTCTGCCTCTTTTCAACCCCGGAACATGTGATGAGCTCCATGCCTCTCCATGCTTGAAAAGAGGCTGAAGTGTCTTACGAGGGAAAAATTTCTCAATGTGATGAGGTTGATTGCCGGACTTCTTTCCTTTCACGACACTTCTGCATCTTTTCAACCATGGAGGGCTGTGCATGAAAGCTGGAAGTAGCTTAACTCATGTGATGAGCTCAGTGCCTCTCCATGCTTGAAAAGAGGCTGAAATGTCCTACCAGAAGGAAATTTCTCAATGTGATAAGGTGATAAGTCGCAATCATGAATATGGAACAGTTATTAGATTCACTCATCTGTAACTGTTACCTATTCAAGATTGCCAATTAGTGCCACTATTGTCGTAATTGTAATGTCCCCACTCCCACCCTTGAATCCACTTCATCAGCTAAATAAAGAGAAGGAGGTCCAGTCTGATCGAGTTCAGAATATGTTTGAATAATTTTTCCCACAAGGTTTTTGGGGTGTGGTTGATTGCCGGGCAAGCCAGAAGAATAGTTGATATGGAAGGCCAAAGAGACATGTTAAGTATGCAGTATGACTGCCATATCCACAGGACAATTATCCACAGTTTATTTATCCATATCCAACCAAATATCCCCTCTTAAGGTATTTTCAAAATTGTCCAGTATGACTCTATAATATTCTTTGGCTAGAAGCCCTTCCTTTCATTGGGGGTCACTATTTTCTGTGATTTTGTAAATCCACACAAACTCCAGGAATGTAATCCTCTGTAGATATGGGCGTTATACTGTACTACATCTGTCCACAATCTAAAACATAATAAATAAACAAACAAACAAATAAATAAAATCAGAATGCTGAATGGAACTGCCAAAAGTTATTCTGCAACACCAAGCAGAGCAATGCAGAAGCATGAATAAGGATTGTTGTAAGCCTTATGATTTCTGCATATGAACATAATGGAGAAGATGTTCCTCATTAAAAGTATTTTGTGTAAAGCAGCCTCCTTGTGGTTGTCCCCACTGATGTTTGTGTCAACAAAGGTGTGCAAGAATCAGAACCAGGGCTAACATTGTTATGGAAATTTATATTTAATGGGCCAAAAGGCATATTTTTTTCTTATTGTGTTTCTTTTTAACTAATCAATGGTAATGGTAGTTGTTGATTTTAAAGTGTGTGGGGCCTTTGGGACTTCTCTGTTCCAGACATCTTCTCAATAGTTGTATGAGAAAAATAGTAATTTAGTAAAACTGTCTTCTCAATGGTACTAGCATATACATCAATTAATTAATTAATTAATTAAACCATTTCCCATGGGTTGACGTACTAGATTTGCTGATAAAAGTTGTGCATTCCTTATCTGGAATTCCAATATTTAATATTCTCAAAAATCCAAAATTGTCCCCATGGCTGGTTGAGATAGAGACACCTTTGCTTTCTGGTAGTTCATCATGCACAACACCTATATAAATAAAAATGTAATGTTCATTTGTGGTATTCACAGAACTCAAAAACCACTGGATGAATTGACACCAAATTGGGACACAAGACACCTCTCAGGCCATTGTATGCCCTTCACTCAAAAGCATCGATTTTGTCATTTGGGAGTTGTAGTTGCTAGGATTTATAGTTTACCCACAATCAAAGAACATTCTGAACCCCACCAACGATGGGTTTGGACCAAACGTGGCATAACAGGACTCTGATGACCAACAGAAAATACTGGAAGGGTTTGGTGGGCAGTGTCCTTTGGTTTTGGAGTTGTAGTTCACCTACATCCAGAGATCACTCTGGACTCAAACAAGGATGGATCTGGACCAAACTTGGCACGAATCCCCAATTTGCCCAAATGTGAACACTGGCAGAGTTCGGGGAAAATAGAATCTTGACATTTGGGAGTTGTAGTTGCTGGGATTTATAGTTCACCTACAGTCACAGAGCATTCTGAAGCCCACCAACGATAGAAATGGGCCAAACCTCCCACACAGAACCCCCATGTGGGCCACAGCAACGCATGGCAGGGGACGGCTAGTTATTAATAATATTGTGTGTAAAATTTCTTTTAGGCTATGTGTTTCAGATATATATGAAACATACATGAATTTTGAGCTTAGACCTGGGCCTTATCTCCAAGATGCATTTAGATGAGTCCCTCTTCGGAGGTCGAGAAGACCGGGTTATAAAAGCTCTAAATAAATAAATAAATAAATGTATTCCAAAATCCAAAATTCTTCCAATCCCAAGTATTTCAGACAGAAAATATGTCAGGATAATTGGAAGTATGTATGTTTGTTTTTCAATGTGTTTCAATATGTATAATCATGTTTTTCACATGTATTCAAAATGGGTTCAGTTATGTTCAGCTGTGTGCTAGAATTGTAGTCACTTGAGGCAGAGAGAGTAAAGACCTTGGCAAAAGTTAGATAAGACATTTTCCTTTGCTGGGAAAGAAAAGAGAGGATTCAGCCAAGGCTGATAAGGAGATGAAATTGGAAACTATGTGTGTGCTGTGTGCTTTGTAGTTTTGTCTTCAAGATGTAACCTGCCTGGAAATGGACGCATAGAGTTGTGCTCAGTAAAAACTTTGTTATTTTGAAACTGGAAAAATGCAGTTTGTCCTAATTTGCGTCTGTGTGATCTGGTAACCTCAATTCCGCTGTGCAAAGACCCCAAGGGTCTCACTCCGACAAAATACTCAACCTGCCATAACCTCCTCAAACTTGGAATCCTCCAAATATATTGGACTGGGGTTGCCATCATCCCAGATTTAGAGGCCATCAGGTTGGGGAAGGGCTCTTGCAACGTCTACTGATTAATATTGAAATTCTGCCCATTTCCAGCTTTTCTACAAAGAAGCATGTTTACAGAGCCATGCAGCAATGTTGTTGCTCATTGCTTTCAGTCAAATTGGGGCTTTTACATGATAGTTATAGTCCTAAGCTTCTACTTTAATTGTATGGAACCATTTAGCTTTCAATTTAACTGCTTCAGAAATATTTATTTATTTATTTATTTACAGTTCTTATATTCCGCCCTTCTCACCCCGCAGGGGACTCAGGGCGGATTACAGTAAACACATATATGGCAAACATTCAATGCCAGTTTGACAAACAACATTTAACAGACAAAGGCTATTTAACTTTTTTTCTGGCCGCCAGGGGAGCTGCTGCTTTTCATCATCCATCAACGACACCGATGAAGTTCTTCCGCATTCCACATTCCCCGGAGTCTTCTTTCTTTATGGCCTCATAAATTAGTTAAATTTAGCCTCCCACACAAGGTGGTCCCTTATTTTCCTACTTGACAGATGCAAATGTCTTTCGGGTTGCAAAGGTCGACAACGGGCTACACAATGGCTGGACACCCACTCCAGCCCGGGCTGGCTTCGAACTCATGACCTTTTGGTCAGAGTGATCTTAATGCAGCTGACACTCAGCCAGCTGCGCCACAATCCCGGTTCCTGGTGTTTATTCTATGGGTTCCTGGTGTTTGTAGTTTGGTCAGATGCAATTGAAGAGCTATCTTGAATCTAAAGGCTCCGTCCTCAACTGCAAATCCCAGTATTCCCTAGGATGTGAAGTCAGGGCACTTAATGCAGAACAATCATTTCATAACTGTGTGGTATGAAAGAGCTCTAATAGCTTAATGTGACCAAGTGGGTAAAATATAATCACAGCCGTATAAAAAACAAGCTGGCAAATATTCATCTTTCTCTTATATTGACACAGCTGTAGGATAAGAAACTGAGCCCAAACAAAGATTACAGTCCTAGCAACACCTTTAGTTCACATATCAAATGTAACTTCTGATTTCCAAGCACACAAATGTGGAGTCACATGGGTAAACTCTAACATTAACTGTCTGGGAAAACAGTAGTAATTTCCTTTATTGTCTGTATAGTATTGTAAGGTTCTGCCTTAATGACTATGTGACAATATCTGCACCCAGAGGCAGCCCTAGGTAATTTTCAATGGTAAGCAAACAGTATTTTGGTGCCCCCCCCCCTACCATTCATTGATATATATTTTCTGTTCGTCATGGGAGTTCTGTGTGCCATATTTGGTTCAATTCCACCATTGGTGGAGTTCAGAATGCTCTTTGATTGTAGGTGAACTATACATCCCAGTAACTACAACTCGCATATGTCAAAGTCTATTTTCCCCCAAGAGCGCCTCAAGAGCGCCCCTGGGCAAAATCAACTACACTGCAAATGCTTACTTTGCGTAAGGGGTTGAGCCGTCCCTGTCTGCACCTGTGTAAGCAGTAGTCTAAGCTCAAGACTCAATATACATTTTATAAAATGTGAATGTTGTAACACTGGTAGAATATTAATATACACGTTATCCCTCTGTTTCATATACATAGGTATCTATATGTAATGTATTATTTATCACATTTGTATGTGCCTTCCATCAAACACTTTCAAAGCAAAAAAAAACAACAGTAACAGTTCAACAATAATCACAAGAGAAAAACAATAAAGAATAGAAAACTGAATAAAATGTATTGTTTATTTATTACATTCTACCCTTTTCTTGAAGAAATCAAATCCTTCCAATTTGAGCATTGTGAGAGGTTGTAGTTTTCACTCCTTATGCATCTGATCATAAGGAAACACCAAACAATTCCAGACTGATGAAAAAATGTGGCATATACCTCAGCACCCTTGAAATACAAATATGGTTTAAAGCATGGCAAAGCCGATCATCCAATGAATACTTCTAC